CAACCCAGTGGTCAACAGCATGAGCATCGATCTACGCAACTAGGGTGCGGTTTAGAATTGATCTTCAGTAACCCATGCTTGTCGTAAGAGGCGACTAACGGGATTGGGTGGTCAGGCTCGCTGACTTGGTTGACACATGTCATCGGTTCCCAATTGCGTAGATCGATGTTCATGCTGTTGATAACTGGATTGTCTGGTCCAGACGTGATTATTTACAGACGACCGCCATATAGCTGGGATATTGCTGAGTGCGGCGTAAAACTAAACTCACTCACTCACTGTTCCTGATCATGGATCATCTCAGAGGCTCTCTATTCCCATCTTGAAATCCGCTGCCAACCTCTTAACAATGGTAAATTTAGAAGCATCACAAATGACACCATGGTCCAGACTCGATTTTTTACAGAAATGCTTCATGACACCGTCTCAACAATCAATTTCTATTTTTATCAATAGAACATGTCTGGTGACGTAATGGATGCAGAAAAACGCTGCCTTGTTAGAGGTGTGGTTCCGATTCTGACGGTGATTTATAGAACGTATTGTACTTCATACATACATATTGTTAAGGGTGCACTTATCAAACACGCCTCGGGTGTCGGAAAATGTATCAAACTACATTCATTTAGAATGAGCGTATCAGAGAATTTTCTTCATATATCGATCCTTTACAAGTTAAATCTCTTCCCAGTGAAAATCACTAATGTTTTGCTGTTCTTAATAAATGATGTCAGTCCCGTCATACTCTGTGAAAATGTATCTATAGTACAGCTGATTGATTATATTTTGCTCTGATCGTTTACTGGAAGACGGCACGAAAATTGTAGAAATAGCAACAAGGGGGGCCACGTGTGAGTTGGGTTGCTTTTAGCATTATTCCAGCAATATCACGGCGGGGACACCAGAAATGGGCTTGCACATGTGGGAAATCGAACCCGGGTCTTCGGCGTGACGAGCAAAAGCTTTAACCACTGTGCTACCCCACCGCAACCATGCGGCTGGTCCCGGAATGGCACGAATGGTCACGAATGTTACATAAGCTGACAAGGTATTTCTAATAGCATCATTGTAGCAGTTTCATCCTCTTTTCTTCAGTTCGGATCCTTTTTGGCACCCTACCCCTTCCAGCCTTTCAAAGCAAATATTTAGTTGCTTTATTCGTGATCCTGTATACTTGTTTATCACACAAACCTATTACTAACATATTTGGTGACAACAATACACATTGTAGCAGTTTCATCCTCTTTTATTTGCTTTTTTTTTTCGCACAGGGGCCCGGAGTCGGTGGGGTAGCCCAGTGGTTAAAGCGTTCGCTCGGCACGACGAAGACTCGGCTTCGAATCCCCCACATGGGTAAAATGTGTGAAGCCCATTTCTGGTATCTCCTGATGTGACTTTGCTGGAATATTGCTGAAAGCGTCGTGAAACTAAACTCACTCATTCACTCACTCATTCACTCAAAGGGGCCCCGAGTTGTCCACTTTGCTGTTCAGAGTTGCGTCCCTTTCGCATGCCAGAAACCGATGATAGTGCTTCGAATACGGGTAAGCCTGTATTAGGTTCCTAGATTTGTCAGCACCATACCCGTGTTGGTCAGAGGAGACCTACATCACGGAGACCTACATCACGGAGACCTACATCACAGAGACCTACATCACGGAGACCTACATCACGGAGACCTACATCACAGAGACCTACATCACGGAGACCTACATCACAGAGACCTACATCACGGAGTCCTACATCACGGAGACCTACATGACGGAGACCTACATCACAGAGACCGATATCACGGAGACCTACATCACGGAGACCTACATCACGTGCGTTGCTCTCACAAAAAGCCAGCACTCCGTGATAAAAGAGGTGGTAGGGTAGCCTAGTGGTTAAATCCTTCGCTCGTCACGCCAAAGACCCGGGTTCGATTCCCCACATAGGTACAATGTGTGAAGCCCATTTCTGGTGATATTGCTGGAATATTTCTAAACGTGGCCTAAAGCCATACTCATTCCGTCCGTAGTATAACAATAATACCTTTCAAAATGACACTAAAGACCAAAATCATTCACAAACTCTTTCTTAACTAAGCATATGTTTAAATATGCATCCTGCCTGAAATATTAGCTGTTTCGCTCTTGTGGTGACAATACTCAAGTTACTTTGGACAACACCGAGGGGAGTTCTATGGAGTTCTATGGATACAACTTCTTTAATATAATATGAGCGACGTTTCCGTGTAGCTACTACCTGACTGACTGACTGAGTTTGGTTTTACGCCGCTTTTAGCAATATTCCAGCTACATCACGGCGGGGAAACACCAGGAATGGGCTTCACACATTGTACCCATGTGGGGATTCGAACCCGGGTCTTCGGCGTGACGAGCCAACGCTTTAACCACTAGGCTGCCCCACCGCCCCGTAGCTACTAACACCGTTATGAAGCAAGTGATGAGTTTGATGATGGCTGGACTGCCACGTGTCCATGAAGACGGCGGATAACTTCTTTGAGTGGCAGTTAGAAGTTGGTGTGATGAACAACGAGGAGACAATCCTTATTATCTTACCTCACACATAAATGTCGCTTTCTGATTGGCTGAGGGCTCTTTTATTATTTTCAATGTACCCCGCTTACAAGCGAGTAACATTTCAATGTACCCCGCTGTCAATGGCAACTCATTTAGTACTTCATGGTAGTAATTCTTTATCTCGAATTACATTGAATCACGTATATGATGTACGGAAATTAACGATGTTTTGCGAATGCAAATCGATGGAAGGGACATAATCTGTTTTTCTTGTCAGCAAAATCTAGCAATGGCTATAAAAACATTTGTACCCGTGCTTCAAACAATTCAAAATTAACATTAAGGTGTTCGCCAAGATAAATACATTGTTCACTGGTCCCTCGGGGCCCATGGGTTGATGGTACATCGAGGGTACATCAACCCATGCTCCCCTCGTTACCAGTGAACAACTTATAATATACTCACCACATACTCCTGGTGGTTGGGTTCAGAAGCTTGACGGCTGACTGTTTCTGGGGCTTCCAGTCTAACCCACACTAAAGCACATGTAGCAAATGGCCACTTTGTTCAATACAACCGTGAACCCGTGAAGATCCGTGTTAGAATTGATCTTCAGTAACCCATACTTGTCGTAAGATGCGACTAACGGGATCGGGTAGTCAGACTCGCTGACTAGGTTGACACATGTCATCGTAGCCCAATTGCGTAGATCAGTGCTCATGCTGTTGATCACTGGATTGTCCGGTCCAATCTCGATTATTTACAGACCATTGCTAAATAGCTGGAATATTGCTGAGTGCAGCGTTGAACAACACCAACCAACAACCAACCATGAATGGGTACCCGGTAGGGGTTGTATCAGTGTGTGTGTGGGAGAGAGGAGAGGAGATAATCGTCCCCTTCCCGCCTCTAAGACACATGCACTCATACTTCTTCCTCATTGTACCTGCTGAGGGCCTTAAAGGGCCACTGATCCAGAGCAATTTCCATGGACTGGTTGTTGCTTTTGTTATTGTTTTTCTTCCGTGAGTACCCGGATGATATCCAAACAAGGGTTACCGAAGAGAGTAGTCGACCGACTCTGCCTTTTTTAGGATACGAACGGAACTATTGTTGCATTTGAAATACCAGGCATAATCTACAGCATCTTCTATTCTCCTGGAAATACATACATGAATCACTATGCCAATCAAAGTGGGTTGTTTATTTGGATTCAAATCATCAAATGTATTATATCTTAGCATATCTTAGGTAATAGACATCATATTTTTCATGATTAAATATCGGGAAAAACACAGTGCTGGGATACTTTATTACAATCAGACAAGAACTACCGGGGATATTTTCAAATAACGGCATCTGATGGGCATGGACCAATGGGCATCCACCCTTCCTAATCACGTTCCCACTGTTTAGGTTGAAGAAATTCTGCCAAGGTGGACAGTAGCCCAGTCCCCGTGTTCGTCACGCTCGAGGGAGCAGGGGATCGCCAGTTTGCAGCTCGGTTTCCTAATTAGACTGTTGTCTGGAAACATTAATCGCTCTGGATCAGTGGCTCTTTAACCTCATAAAACCAGAATAACAACTTTTAAAATGAAAAAATCAAGGCTAACAGAATCCTCATCATACGTGTCAAGAAAATACGTTGGCCGATTGGTTGGAAAACCGGAAGTACGGATGTATATCCCTGATGAAACTGGCCCACATTTCAGATTATGTGCAATTACATCAGACAGACTCGCGATAATCACATTTGGATGCCACAGCCTTATTGGTATTCCTACGCGCATGTCTGTCACATTAGATGAAGCCACACAAACTGAAACCGCCAGCAAGACTTTAGGACCAGTGACCACAAAACACAGGTTGGCCCTGGCGACGGGTGAGTGTCATGGCGTACATTATAACGTCTGTATTGTACAAGACACCCTGGACTTGGGAGACAAAACAAAGTTATAGACACGACTGGATGACGCAAGAAATATGGAGTCATACGGCTTTATGTCAGGGTTTAGTATCGTGTTGGGCAACACATGCCAAATTGTGTTGTATACAGAGTTTGGTTTGGTTTGGTTTGTTTCACGCCGCACTCAGCAATATTCCAGCTATATGGCAGCGGTCTGTAAATATTCGAGTCTGGACAAGACAATCTAGTGATCAGCAGCATGACCATCGATCTACGCGATTGGGATACGATATGTGTCAACTAAGTCAGCGAGTCTGACCACCTCATCCGTTAGTCGCCTTTCCCGACAAGCAGGGGTTACTGAAGACCGGGCCCAGGGGTTGAAATAACCCTTTGCCCGACGCCCAGAGTCCAGTGTTTTTTTCTGTCGGGCAAGCAAATTTGTATATCACACTGTACCGGTGTCCAGTTGATATACCAATGTTAATTATGTTGTTTATTTAAAAAATCAACAAGAAAACGGCCGGTATAGTGGAAAAATTATCAGGGCAAGTGATTTTACATGTGCCACTGTACCGGAGTACACTAGCAATTTTAAAGTTATTTCCACCCCTGTCAGACTAATTTTAACCCGTATCTTCACGGGTCTGTGTACAAAGAGGTCAGGGCTGAACAGGTAGGGCCAGTGTGTCGTTGTTCGATCTTGGCGCTGAGGTGATCGTAAATCCCATACCTTAACATAGACCTCCGACAGTCGCAGCGCTTAGGTTATTAGACTTTTAGAGACCCTGGTAAATATTTCGGTCTTTGCAACAGAAAGAGATACCAATTCAGTCTGTCTTTTAGCTTAATCTCTTGTCTAACAGTAAGTCAAGTCTTGTCCTCGAGAAGCTTGTAGGATCGGTTGTTGGGGCCCCCAGTTATAATATGATACGTGATGAACCAGAATGGCCTTCCACGATATGGGACAACGTCAGTATATTGTTGGGAATGTATCCTTTCTGAGGTACCTGGATTTTGTGTACGTACGTGCGTGCGTATTAAGTGAGTGAGCGAGTAACTTTGGTTTAACGCCGCTTTTAGCAATATTCAAGCAACATCACGGCGAGGAACACCAGAAATGGGTTTCACACATTGTACCCATGTGGGGAATCGAACCTGTGTCTTCGGCGTGACGAGCGAAAGCTTTAACCACTAGGCTACCCCATCGACCCGTGTGAAGTGGAGGTGTCATCGTGTCTTGACGTATAGAAGCCTGGTATTTGAGTAAAATATTTGATTTGAGTACGATTCATGCAGATGGGATCCCTTAGAAAGATTTCACACTGACGTGATTAAAATGCTAACCCACTTAAGTGAATCAATGTTAACTTTGTGTATCACAGTTGAAATTACGAAGAAGGCGAAGAAGCCTTGTATCCTTAACGTACATGTACTTTAACTATATGTACTTTAACGTGGTGTCAATGTTGTCCCTCTGAAAATATTCATCTGAACAATGTCTAATCATAACAAATCAACAGCAAAGCCCATAGCTGGTAACAGTAGACATGCCCTACAGAGGAGTAGTATACCAACTCACTTGACAAAGTCAATATCGGGTGTGACCACCAATTGCGCTGATGCAGCCGAGGCAGCAGCGGAACATATGACACACCAAATATTTGGAAATAGCTTTGGGGAAAGTAATGCAAAATATCAACCAAAGACTGGCTCAACTATCATGGTTAACTGGTGTTGAGAGACGTCTGTAGAAACTGAGATTGGCAGAACAAAATATTGGTTCACAGACCAGGACTCCTGACAGATGACACCCTGACCACCAGATCCCAGCAACAAAGGGAAGTAACTCCAGGACAGGAGACTCACAAACTTGTTGCCTTCAGAGTACATGGAAACACGATTTTCGATGACTGGCAGATCCAGTGTGCCTGCGTTGTACAACAGCCCTCCCCTTTTGAGTGAATGAGTGAGTTTAGTTTTACGCCACACTCAGCAATATCCCAGCTATATGGTGGCGGTCTGTAAATAATTGAGTCTGGACCAGACAATCCAGTGATCAACAGCATGAGCATCGATCTGCACAACTGGGAACCGATGACATGTGTCAACCAAGTCAGCGAAACTGATCACCCGATCCTGTTAGTAGCCTCTTACGACAAACATAGTCGCCTTTTATGGCAAACACATGCCCTCCCCTTTTTGACAACAAAAATCCAACCTGACCCTGATGTATCACATAGAAATGTAGTTTAAAATGTGTCTTTGGCAACCCATGCTTGTCCTGCCAGGCAACTAAGGGGTGGTCAGGCTCCCTGACTTGGTTGACACATGTCATCCTTTCCCCAGTGCATGGATCAATGCTTATGCTGTTGATCACTGGGTTGTCAAATCCAGACTAGATTAATTACAGACCGCCATCATACAACTGGAATAATGCTGTGTGCTGTGTTAAACAATAAACTAACACAGAAATGTTCTAATGGAGATAAAGTCAAACAAAAAAGAATCAATTTTACATCTATTTATTTATGACAAAAGGCAAAATGATTTACAACAAGATGATGAATGTTGACATGAAGACTCCCAAGTCCTGTCTGAAGGTGGAAGATCCAACAATGCCATACTGTGAAGGATGATCGTTCCTCTTGTAATGCCAAGGATGAAGATGCAGAGTATGAACTTGGGGCACCTGCCGCATTCAGCAAAATTGGAAATACTGTACGCTGAAGCAATCACCCATTTATCCTGACATGATTCTTGGCAATTAAAAATGACATGATTAAAATGTCTTGACCATCCTGATGAAATGCGTGGATTCAACATTCTTGACCACAACACGCGTCAGTCACACAGTGTCCATGCACATTACTGACAACCTGTACCACACTGAACCTGATCACACTGGGCAGCTTCATGATCTCACTGGCGGGAGGTCTCATACCTGGCGGCATCCCTGCAACACAAATATACAGTTGGTTACACATACTATCTGCCCATACATTGTCACAGTGAGTGAGTTTAGTTTTACACCGCTTTTAGCAATTTTCCAGCAATATCATGGCAGGGAACACCAGAAATGGGCTTCACACATTGTACCCATGTGGGAAATTGAACACAGGTCTTCAGCGTGACGAGCGACCACTTTTTACGACTAGGCTACCCCACTGCCCCCCTTGTCACAGATTTCAACTGATTTGAATTTTTGATCAAGTAAATGTATCTATGGAACAGGAGCCCTGTTTTTAACATATGGATTCAGACCATTACTGATGAAAATAGATCCGATTTCAACTATCCCTCTGAAAATAGATCCGATTTCAACTATCCCTCTGAAAATAGATCAGATTTCAACTATCCCTGGGTACTAGAGTTTTTTAAATATAATAATTGCCTTACTAACCAGTGTAAAGATAATAATCCCTTGGTATGTTAAAACAATGGGGAAATAAGAGCCAGTATGGCTTGTTTTCACCTTTTACGATTAGCAGACATTCAGTTACTTTCATTATAATCATTGCAAAAGTTAGTGATTTTATTTCAAGTGGCAACAGGTCTACAGGTCCATAATGATATTTCCCTGATATCCGAAAATTGAAATTCCATGACATTTATCACGACAATGACCAGTGAGCATATATTACTGTCAAATACATAAAATAAATAAGAGTGTTTGGTATTTTCCTGCCTGGCTTGGATATACTCCATATTGAATAACTCGTTTGGATCAATAACATTAAAACTCAATTGAAAAGAAGCTCATTTTCAAAAACAGTCTTTGAATATTGATTCTAGTGATCCAGAATAGCAAATTGATTTCATGAAGGGATATGGTTTGACTTCACAAACACGCCAGAAAATAGTAACAGTCCTAACAACTGTACAAGACTAGATATACTGATATGTTGGGATAAACGTGTAACTGTTGCCACAGGCATTTTAGCTGGAGCTTGTTTTGTTCGTAATTCCATACAATGCTGATGCTTACTGTCCGGGGTGCTGTTATTGAATGCCACATATGATTTTGGTCAGTTGATATGACAGTTGAGGGAGTCAATACTGCAACCACTCCGAATCAGAGCTCCAGATGAGATTTAGCTCATGTGGGTACTGAACCCACTATTTTTTTGGAGTGGGTTTTATAAATGTTGAGTGGGTATTTCATTTTCCGTTACCCACTGCTTTCAAGCATGTGGGTATTTCAGTCATTTTACTCACCTAAGTATTATGTCATTGAGTAAGTTTACTAAGCAGGTATTCAAATCCAACTTAAATATAATGGAAATGATTTCATAAAAAATCACTCATCCTGTACTGACAGTACAACACTAGTCCTGTACTAAGTGTACAACTTGATAGCAATCGATGTCTTTTTCATTACGCAAGCGATTTTTATAAATATATTCCGTACGCATTTGTTTTAAACATTTTGCGTATCTAACATTTAAAATGCGTAATTGGTACGCAACAATTATTTTTCAATGCGTAATTGGAAATTTTCTATGCGTATTTTACCCGGATACACAGCTTATCTGGGCCTCTGTCCACCTACTATAAAAAAGGTATTTGTTCCTACTAATTTATTACTGCATACTGGACATCCTTGGCTAGGCTTCCTAGGCTCAATAGGCTCAATACACACCTTCCTAGGCTCAATACACACCTTCCTAGGCTCAATACCCTAGCTGCCTGTAGTGCACTACATCCAAGACACAATGAACTAGCTCCTTGCAAGAATTGGCAACAGGATATTGGATGTGGTTGGATTGTTGCTTTAGTGATCAACAGCATGAGCATCAGTCTATACAATTGGGATAATAATAAGTCATCTTCTATAGCGCACGTTTCCAAACACCAGTGATTGCTCGCGGCTCTTAATCACAATCTGATTCTTATTACCCTGGATAACCCAAACTGCCTGTTAGGCGCTAGAAGGTTATAGTCACATGACTTTATCCAACCGGGTACCCATTTTCTGCTGGGTGAACATGTGTCAACCAAGTCAGCGGGTCTGACAACTCGATCCTGTTAGTCGCCTCTTACGACAATCATGGGTTGCTGAAGACCAATTCTAACCCAGATCTTCATGGGATGATATTGGCCATGATGACGGAACATCCTGAACCAAAGTCTTGGTCTAGATACTGACTCTGTAACCTGTGTAACCTGTGTAACCTGTGTAATCTGTGTAATCATAAACAGCAGATTGACACACATAGCATTGTAGGTTGTAGTCAGCCAATATTAAATGACCAAAATCAAAGTCAGCACACGTTCAAATATTCACATCTTTCAGGTACAAATTTATGGTCTACATTATTGAAAGATCTAGCATTATACAAAATTTCATTTATATCATAATCCAGGGAAATGGGAAGAAAGCTCAATGTGGTGCTTGAAGTAGCACAACTTGAAGCAATCGTTAACTTTTAATGTAAAACAGAACTTGTTGTCAGCCCTTTTAAGACTACATTAACCCAATCCAGAATGAGTGGCCAATTTCAGATGAACGAGGTGATCTCATAAATATCCAGTAATCTAATTATGATCATACACATAATAGGATGATCTCCAACAGCGCTGACTGGAGCGAATCTACTCTGCCACAAGCAGTTAGCTAGAAGATGTTTTTAAAGTTATTTCTTTCGGGTCCGAAATACAGGCTTTCTGGAAAATACAAGTGGGTGGCTATCAAACCAAGGTAGTGTTGCTGTAAGTGACCACACCTGAGGTCATATTTGAGCATCAGATACAGAAATCACAATTTGAACGAAACTTCAGGATAAAATTTGAAAAGGACAGATGATAATCCTTTCCCCATCCTCCATGTTCCTTTTTATCCATGTAAGTACAAAATTGGAGCCGACTAATCCGCCTCGCGTCCACAATTAGACGGCAAAGCCTGCCCTGCAACCTAATAATCCCGCGATCAGCTCAACCCCCTCTCCCCAACCAGCATCCGGACAAAACACCTGCTGTTGCCCAAGGCCACACGCTTAATGTACTTTCTTGCCATGGGGCGAGTGCTAAGTTTCATGTGACTGAGTAATGGGGAAGAACAACTGAGTTATTACTGGCTCGAAGTCTGCCTGCGGCCAGCCAAAATGTCAGAATCAATACGTATTTGATGAAAGCATAATCATAGAGGCCCTGGGGCTCTCAAGAAGCACTGATTATTTCCCCCGGCAGAGAGATCACAGCTAAAAAATTTCAAAAGATCAGAAGATAGGCATCTGGTTTCCACATGAACTGAAGATTGCATTACCCAAACCGGTTCAATCAAGAATTCTACTTCCCCGAGGCAAGGCAAACTAGAAACTTGAAGCGAAATTTCAAAACTTATTTTGTGTTGCAGACAAATGCTGCCAGCTATGTATCAAAATGAAACATCGGAAAAACACTTCTCAATTTTCTTTAGCCATATATGGAGGAAGTTGGGAATCTTGTGCACCTGAGTTACTCGAGGAAATCAATTACTGCAGATGTTATTATGGAATGGTGGTGTAATGGGTGGCACACAATTACATTAACTTTTCATCTCACGATTTCAGCTAAATGGCTTACAAATATAGGACAAAAATCATTTCAATAGAATTACAACTACATCAGCCTCCAGCTATCTGTACAATGAAGAACAAAAATCCAATTGCTCAAACTTATTTCCAGGAAGAAAAGCTATCTTCCATGACATACAAAACTACTGTTTTATAAACCATGTACTGGATAGTGTTTGTATAGGGATTATCATGTTTATAACTGATCTTGTTGAATCACTGTACATACGGAATAGCGTTAATAAAGTTCAGGTTTGCCAAAGTCATTCTCCTGTGATTCTGAACTGGATACATCTTGGTCAGATTTTGTTGGTAGGGATACACATCAATTCATTAATTCCAATAATTGCCTACACAGAAGATTGCCTATAAAAATAATACCAATCAACAATTCAGTTTCTTATATCCGATATTCAGGCCAAAATAATCTTCACTTCAGGGTTCGTGTAACAAATCTCAAAGCCACACGAAACCGACTGGGCAATATTCTAACTCTACTGTGGATGCCTGTAAATTAGGAAGAGGTATGAGTGCATATGTCTTAGAGGCGGGGAGGTGACGATTATCTCCCCTCTACTCCATCACTGTACCCATTCACAGTTGTTGGTTGGTTGTTTAACACCACACTCAGCAATATTCCAGCTATAAGGTGGCTGTCTGTAAATAATCGAGTCTGGGCCAGGCAATCCGGTGACTGACATGAGTAATGTCCCATTTTGTCTGGGCACAATGGCATGCAATCTACCTAGTCACTGAGCCTGGCTGCACTCAAATCTCAAAGCTTAGGCCATTTCTCATCCTGAATCCCAATATGAGGAGGTGAGGTGAAATTGGGTTTATCGTCATGCTTGAGTGAGTGAGTGAGTGAGTGAGAGAGAGAGAGAGAGAGAGAGAGAGAGAGAGAGAGAGAGAGAGAGAGAGAGAGAGAGAGAGAGAGTCTCTTCAGCATAATTCCAGAAACATCATGACACAGGAACTCTTTGTCCACATTCAGCAGAAGCTAACACTTTAACTTAGGTCAGTCAGTCTGTGGTTTTAGCCACGAGCAAAATTTCTTTTGGTCTGTGCTTTGCTAGTAAACACGCATACAGTAACACAAATATCTACTGAAAATGATCTCAGTGAGTGATTTGAGTTGAATTCACTTTGAATAGCTTGTCAAAATAATATGGTAGGAATGTTTGAAATCATGCAAACCTAGACGTTCACAAGTTTGGTGAAACCCATGAACAGAGGTATGGTGCTGGTAAGTGACAATGTAAACAGGGCAAACTAGGATTTGAACCCACGTTTCTGGAAGCCACCTTAGATGAGTGAAATTCATCGGTACGTTTTCACTGCAAACAGACTATAATTGTAACCCAAATTCTAACAGTTTACTATGCTTTTAGAAATATGCCAG